ATTTCCTTGCATTCTTCCATTGCTCCAGCTTTTTTGCTACTACAATACAAAGCTAGTAGAAAAATTTGCCTGCTACTATTATAATTCTTAATAGTAAGCTACAAAAATATTACCTACTCAATCTGTTTTTCTGGAGTAGTAGTTCTTAATCTTGGCTGTGTGTCACAATCTTCTGAACAATCCTAACAAATACTAACACTAGGGTTCTATGCCAACAGATTCTGGTATAATTGGTCTGGGACACAGCCTGACCTCAGGGACCCAGGTTAAAACCTTCCTGGGTACAAAATTGGGAAACATGCAGGTAATAGCTTTTCAACCAGGCCATCTCATTTTTGTTTATCTTGGCATTTGTGATAGAAAATTACAAATTTACACTTCCCTTAAAGGCCTTATGCTAGTCTTTTTCCCATTTGCCCTTTGATCCATTATTCTCCTTCTCATGCTCTGCCCTGTGCATTTCAGAAGACTGATCCCCTATCATTGGCTGTATTTCCTAGCTTATGAGATAGCTGTCTTCCAAAGAGGTTCACCCAATGGAATGCCCATCCAACTATCTGGAGGGTGGAAATAGGGAGAGGCCAGGGTGTTTCTTCCCCTCTTCCTTTGACTGCCTGGTGCTTCCTGCTGTGTCCCTCTGTCTCCAATTCCTGGCAAATAGGCTGTGCTTTGTTTTCTAGCTATAACTTGCCCCATGGACTTCATTAATACAAGCTCTTCCCTTTGATCATTCAACCCAGGGCCACAGTAATTTCTTACTGGAAATTTGGGGTGTTCCACCACCCTACTTAGTATCTTAGTCCATCCATGACATATGACCAGTTCCCAGTAAAATTTCCTTAAATACTTGGAATGTTTTTTCTTTGCCTAGTAGGAACCTGCCTGATACAGTTCTTAATGAATATACATTATCTTACATAACATGAGTATAGGTTTCCAGAAACAATATCTCTGTTGTTCATTTCACTAGAGCCCACTCTGACCTTCAGGGTCAGGGGCCACAATGCTAAGCTATGACACACAGCATCATAGAGGAGCCAGATCTGTATTCTATTGTGAGACATGCATATCACACATGGACCCAAGATATGTTGGTTGGCGTTACCACTTTACCTATGGAGACAGAAGGACTTCCCTTTCCATAAATACACAACTACACATGGGTAATCTGTTTAGAAGTAGAATGCTGTATGCCCTGCTCAGACCTTAGAAGGCATTCTCTAAATCCTACTACCCCAAGTATAGGTTATGGAACAGGAATATCAACATCTGAGCATGTTTAGAAAGCCAGAATTCTGGGCCCAAATCCAGTCTTTTATTCTTTAAAAAAATTGAAACATAACTCATATTCCATGAAACTTGGCCATTTAAAGTATACAATTCAGCAGGATTTTCACATATTCACAACATTGTACAAGTATCACCACTATCTAATTCCAGGACATTTTCATTTCTCCAAAACAAACACACAAACAAAAAAATCAAACCCTAGATTCATCAGCAATTCCCCTCACTCGCTCCCCTCCAAAAACCTAGGCAACCACCAGTCTACTGTCTATATGGATTTGCTTATTCTAGACATTTAGTATGAATTCATATAAATTTCATATAAAGGAATCATATAATATTTGCTTTTGTGTCTAGCCTCTTTAACTTAAAATGTTTCCAATACTTATTTGGGCCATGGCATATTATCAGAATTTTATTCTTTCTTATAAGTGAATAATATTCTATTTTATGAATATGCCATATTTTGCCCATTCATTAGATGATAGATATTGTGGATCGTTTTGCCTTTGTGGCAATTGTAAATACTTCTTCTATGAACACTGATGTTGAAGTTTTTGTGAGAACATTTTTTTTTTCAGTTTTCTTGGGTGTATAGGGAGAAGTGAAACTCCTGGGTAACGTGGTAGCTCTATGTTTAGAGAAAAAAGCTGTTATGTTTTGAGAAATTGCCAAACTGTTCTGAAGTGGCCATACCATTCCATATTCTCACTAGCACTTGTTATCTTTAGTCTGTGATATTAGGCAGTTTTGGTTCTTCTCAGTCCCTTGAATTTCTGTATATATTTTAGGATCAGATTGTTAATTTCTGCAAAAGACACAGCTGGGATTTTGATAAGGATGGTGTTGAATTTATGGATCAATATGTTAACATTGAGTCTTTCAAACTATAACAATCTATTCAATCTATTTTCATCTATAAAATTAGATTTACCATTGATTTAGTCTTCTTTAATTTCTGTCAATGAACTATAGCTTTCACTTGTGTCTTGCACTTATTTTATTAAAAATTTCCCAAATACTCATTTATTTATCTATTAGTATACAGTAGCTTCAACCCAAGGCATGTACAATGAGCTACATATCCAGCCCTTTTTTATTTTTTATTTTGATACAGAGTATCACTAAGTTTCTAATTTGCCCAGAGTGGGACAAAACTTGAGATCCTCTTGCCTCAGCCTCCCAGAGTGGTGAGATTACAGGCCTGTGCCATTAGGTCTCACCAAATATGTATTCTTTTTGATTGCATTGTAAATGAAATTTGTTCAATTTCATATTTATGGCCTTGCATTTTAAATTCTTTATTTTCAGCAAGACCTCCAGAGGATTCTTCAGCATGTTAATGTTTGAGAAATGCTGCTCTACTGACAAACTCAACCCAAGTGACATTTCACACAGCGGTGCCACTTTCTGCCATGTTAAGCTGCTGGCTCTCCAAGAAGTGACTTCAGACAGCATAGTCACGGAAAACAACAAAAGAGACAGACACTACTCTGTGGATTAAATGTTTTTAATAAGAGGAAGTAACCAGATAATATAACAAAAATTTTAATTTTAATTTCTGTGCAATGGGAAACTAGTATTAAACATTCATTTAATTGAGAAGGAAACTACAATGCTGAGTTTTGCCTGAGTTCTGTGGAAAAATAATCCACTTGAAATAATTATCCTGATAATTGTTAGCTCTCCTTTTTGTTTTCAATAAATTTCTCATTTTTTTCAATTAGAGCAATAATTACAAGTTAGACCTTAAAATGAATATGTTCCCTAAATTCTGTTTTGCTTTGTGATTCCAGATATGATACCAATTACCCTCATGACTTTGAATTCATCACTTAATATTTCTAAATTACAATTTCTCCTCCTGAATAATGAAGGAATTGGACTAGATTTCTCTATTTCTCTATTTTCTCTCTCTCTCTCTCTCTCTCTCTCTCTCTCTCTCTCTCTCTCTCTCTCTCTGTTCTATGTCACTTAGTAATTCTAAATTTGTCACCTGCAAATCTATCTCTTAATTTTATGAACTATGTATTACAGAGTTAGTCATAATTAAGGCATGATTGTGAATGAAGTATATTAAGGTCTGACATTTTCATACACAGTTATAGATAGGGGCCAAATTCATTGCAGCATTTATAGTTATATAACAATATATTCTCTTCATTTGTAGTTTTAAGAAACAATAGTTAATGAAACAAATTAAACAAATGGAGAATTCCTTAAAGTTAATTGAAAAGGTATTTATTTACAGGTAAATTCTCTCAAAATTAGCCCTCTTCTGTATATTTAATACTGTCTTCTTCTTCCAGTCTCACACTAGCATTTTCATAAGAATCCATGTGTAGATTACTTCACTGGCACAAAAAGATGTTGATATGATTCTTTCAAAGATGAAGGGAATATTTCAGTAAAAAGCTACCAAACTGGAGACTTTTGGCAGTGCTTACAGTCCTATATATTCTGGAAAAACCAGGTCCCAGTGCTTGAGACCTGCTCCCAAGTTACCATGAGACCAGAGGAAGAGGCAGACAGATATGGGACTTACTGATAGAAGCATTGCTCTTGATATTTACAGGACCCAGGGATCCTCATCACTTGGGTCAACAGTAAGTCCCTACAAGTAAGTCAAAATGTACCTGGTTCATCTGAAGCTTGTATTGAAGTCCTCGGGTACATTCTTGGTGCTCATGGTGCCCAGGTCCATATTGTAAAGCTCCACATACCACTTTAATGGTTGTGTTGATTTAGAGTATGCTGGGATTGTGGTGGTTATAACTCAAGATGGCTGCAAGCTGAATTCCCACACTTTGGCATCACTCCTCAAGAAATAACTTGGTAATTTGACTCATGCTTTCTCTTACTTCAGGGTTCCTAGAAACATATTGCGAGAGAGAGACTGTTGCTCATTGGTCTACTGAGAGAGCAGTCTCACAGAAAACTTGTAAGCAATTGAGGGAAGCAAGAGAGTGCTGGAGAAAAAGCTAAGCAGCAATGAAGAGTCAAGTGAAATCTATTCTCAGTCCAGAATGTGAACAGCACACAGAGTTGTCCCACCTTGAGTCAAGGGGCTAGCCATTTGTTTCCCCACATCATTCATTTGGTGATGAGTGGGTGCACTGGAACTTCCTGGGTTTTTCTGAGAGGTGGGCTGAGAGCAGTGCTCAGGAGAATGGGCATTCGTGAGTCATTAGGAGCAGTGCACAGGGGCTGAGGGAGAATTTAAGATCCAGTACAGAGGTAGCGTCTCCCAGAGTCCAACATCACAAATGACAGAGGAATGAAATTACTTTAAGAAAGTATTAGGGTGCCACCCAGGGTGGGTGGCATGTTCCTGTAGTTCAGGCTACTCAGGAACTGAAGATGCAGGATCGCTTGAGTCCAGGAGTCAGAGGCCAGGTGGGGCAACATACCAAGACCCACATCTCAAAATAATAGTAGTAACAATGGGGCTATAATGATATTTGGGGAGCACTAGTTTTAATGGTTATATGATTTTGATACATTTCCTCTAGCAGAGTGACTAAAGAGAAACAAGCTTTTAACTGAGTTTTTATTTGTTCAGATCTCTAGCCAAAGCTATGCTGATGTTTGACTTTTCCTTCAGAAAGTGAAAAATAACTTTATAAAACTTAAACCTTGGAGACAGATTTTATGTTATAGTTTTCATTTGAGTGAGTCACAGTACATTGACCAAACATTCATTTTGTGTTCATTATCCATTTTCATCCATATTCATTCTACCAGTTGCTGACTTTCCACTATTTTTATGATTACCTTCTGTGTCATGCAAGACAATATATACAATGCATACAATAAAGTGATAATTCTGTATCACAACTACCCCTATCTGAGTAAGTTTATGAACTGAGCTTGTGCTGGTTTTGGCTGAAATCTGGTGGGCTGCTCCTCTGGCCTCACTAGGGATCACTCTCTTGCTGAGCCGCTGCTAGTTAGCTGATGAAGGTCGACTTCTGCCGGGATCACAGGCTCTGTTTCACATGGTTTTTCATCTTTCAGCAGGCAAGCCAGGCCCAAGAAAGAAGGAGAAATGTGAAGGCCATTTGTTGAGCTCATCAAATGAAATCAATCCGCCACCCCACCCTGTTCTGAGACATCAACTCTCACCCGGACATTTGAAATCATCTAACTTCTTCCCAGTGTTGCTGCTGTACACATCTAATCGCCACACATCAGCCAAAACATTCCTTACAAATACTAAAAAAAAATGCCTGCCCAGTCCTCTGCTCACTTCTGTCCGGTGACAACAATCTCAGAGGAGAAGCCAGGGATTTTCAAGACCTTGATTTTTCAAGACTCTACATGAAAAGGCCTTCTCCTCCCGTCTCACCCTCCCACACTTCCCCCCATGCACCTCAAGTTCCAGCAACAGCACATTCGTCCAGTGCTAATGACCTGATAGTTGGCCACGAATCCCTCAGGATCTTGGGGCTGTTCTTTGAATGTGACCCACAGGGTCTACTTTCTCAATTCTTCTTAAAGTTCACCTCTTTGAGGAGGAATGCTCTGGCCAGCCTATATGAATGAATACATCCTGCACTCTATGAAATTCTTACCATGGTTTTTCTTCATAGCACCTACTCATACCTGAAATATTACATACACATTTTTTTTTCTTTTCTCCCCTAGTAGAATATGAATTCCATGAGAATAGTGACTTTGTTTCTTTTGTTTACTGCTGTAACCCCAATGTTTAGAACAGGGCCCAGTAGACGATAAATGATGATATGCTTAATGAATGAGTCAATGAATAAATATCTTTTTGCCTAGGAGATGATGTTTAAGATTTCACTTATTCAAACCTCACTAAATGAATTGCTTTGATGCCAATAAAAGTTAAAGGATAAATAAATGCAGGCAAACTCCTAGGTCTTATTAGTGTGAACCACCATCCTTATCTGCTGTTTTGGCTCTGTGCCGTTGTTGGATATCTTCTAAATGTCATTTGAACAAAGATGAGACTTATAAAAGCTAGAAAACAGGTTCATGGTATCCTCTTACATTACTCTATTGGACTTATCTTTTGGTATTATCAAGTGAATAGAGATAATTTCAAAAATAATTTAAGCGAAAAACGTTTACAGTTTCACAAAATATGAACTTGTTACTTGTGTTTTTTTCCTAAAAGAATACTCTAAAAATGTCTGGATGAAAGTTTAAAATAATTAAAATAGTTGAGAAGAGCAAACTTTTAAAAAGTTTTCAGTTTTATAAAAGGAAGTCACCTCTTATTTGAACATGAGTTATTTTAAACTTGTAAGAACTTAGCACAGAGGAATAAATTCTCAGTACAATAATCATTTTGCTTGCTTGGTCATATAAATGGAAACAAAGCCATGGATTTCACTGGCAAAGATGGACAGAGTAGTGGGAAAAATGACTAAAAGTGTGCAAAACTAATCAGACTGTATCTCTAGAGTATTTCATATCTCAAATTTTGTTATTTGCCAATTTGGCATATCTTTATTTGTGAGAAAGGAAAGAAATGAACAAACATATAAATAAAGTCTAGTTCATGGTTACCTCTAGATTTAGCCTCTGACCCAAACATATTTCTTTGAAAAGCACAAAATAAAATCAAAATAAAATCTTGTTATAGTATAAGAAACAACAGTAATTAAATTAAGATGAGACAAGTGTCATGAAGTAGAAATACATGGTGCTTGAATTTAATTTATTCAAAAGTCTTCATGAGCTGATCGTGTTCTTTTAAATCCAATTACTGATTTGCATCTTTATAATATTTTAATTATTGCATCTATAAAAGGAAGCACTAGTTAAGAATTACATTTAATAAAAAATATCTAACCAGCTTGATGTTGGTCAACCATTTCATATGGGTTTTTTTCTGAAGATCTAATATTTTGATAAATTTTCTTTATACTTTTGTAGATATATTCTTCTGTTCTGTTTCATTCAGTATACAAATAATTTTAAAATTATACCAGTTTAATTTCAACTAATTTTCTAGAGAAGTGCAAGCAAGACAGAAATGTTTTAGCTTTTCTGTAATTGTAATAAATGTACAATGAGCCTTAACTCCATCATTTTATGACTAAATTTTTATCTAATCTGCATAATGATATAAATTTGCTCTGCATATATATAATAGTAAAAATATGTGTATATATACTAGTAAAAGAAAATTGAAAAATGGTAGCTGTGAATTAATATGGGCCAACTATAATTTCTGGATGGATATTCAGATCATATTTATATTACAGAGAAGAGATAATCATCAAATGACTTATTTAAATAAATGAGCCAAATGTTGATTACTATTTTGTAGGATACCAAAAATATGTTGTTCCAGGACCCTCTTGGCTCTAAAAGACTTATCTGAAAATGAATTAAAAACAAGGGGAACTATTTCTCTCTTAGTATGATGTTAAAGGCAGGGCTGATCCAAGTCAATTCAAGTTCACTAGAGTCCCAAGTTCTTGAAATTTGTTCTGCTAATCTTAGTTGGCTTGCTAAGGTGATTGCAGTAGTTCTAAACAATAGCCTGAATATCAAACAGAGAAACAAAATTTTCCCATTACACTATTGGCACTAGTTGGCTTCTCCACAGCCAATTTTAGCTTTCTTTGCAAAGGCTCCATTCTTCTCCGTAGAAAAAAAGTTTTCTTGTATAGTAATCTCACCCAATCTACAATTTCCTGTCTAATCCTGTTATTAAAATAGTAGTCACACACAATTAGTCAATGAAATTCAATTATTATTGCTCTTACCACTTTATCCATCACTTGGTCCATGTTTCCCCTGGAAAGAGAGTGGGGAAGAAAAGAAGAAAGAGGCTTTCTTTAGATGAGTCATAGAAGGTGATGGCTCCTTAGGGGAAAGAGCTGGACCATATTGACTTCTCCTGATGGAGCCATCAGTGGGTTCTACCTAGGTGCTTGACAGGTCAGAAGAGTCAGATTGTATTTTTTAATAATTACTGAGCTTGTGGACATGTTTTTCTATGAAACGTTTACCTTTAGCTCAGCAGCATTTCCCTATGGAGCCTATAAATGCTTTGTAAGGGGATTGTAGGAGACCAGATAATTGAGACCTAGTTGACCTTCTCTGCAAGCACAAAAGAGAAAAACAGCAACCTGTTCCTCCTTTGGCAATATTCAGTCATGCTGGCATGCTTCAAGTTTCAGAGAAGAGTCAATACAGTTGATATCTGAATGTATACCTGGATACATTATCTTCCCATATATCTTCATTAACCTAATTGCTTGTTCCGTTGTCTAAGTGAATAAAAGCAAGGTGAGCCAAACACTCAGGGCTCTGTCTAATAGAGGCGAGAGTCCCCTGATTCCCTCATTCTAAATTATCTCTGTATTTGTGTCTTTTTAAAATTAATTTTATAGGTACATTTAAGGTATACAGCAGTGATATTCATCATTGGAAATTTGCACGTTTACATAATCCATCTTGGTTCTTATTTTTTCCCCACTCCCCATTTGTATCTTTAATCTTCATTTTCCCCCTCTGGTTAGGCATTCCTAGAGGGCTGGTCTTCTCCAAAGGATCCCTATTGTTCCATTGTGCCATTGCTAGACCAGCTCACAGCTCTACCTTTAAGTTATTCTCAGAGATTTCCTTAGGAAATCCAGAATTTCTTGGATCTTATTTGCTACCCTCTGAGAACTTAGGGCAGTGATGGGTGAATGTTTTAGAGCTTTCAATGATACAAACAGCCAACTGTGGCACACATACCATAGGTTCACCACCACTGACTTGGGGGAATGAAGAGGGGACAGTGACTCTGCTTACCCACCATATCTCATTGGCTCAGCTCTCACATGGAGCATGTTGTCTTCAAAAATCTCCAGATGAGAAGATACCATTCTTATGATCTGGAATGTATGCCAGTTTCAAAGGTGTTAGGTAAACTGTGTGACCCATTTGGGTTTATGAGGAATTCAAGAGGCAAACTGTAAACTTCCCCAAACTCTGCCTTCTTCCAGAGTATAATTCTCTACCTCCACCATCTCCTTTGTACTTCCTGTGGCATGATTAAGGTTTCGATAGCCACAAATCAAGCACTTATGACAAGGTCTCCCTGGACCCTAGTCATGGGTTTTCTGGGCTAGGGGATGATCGTGAAAGAAAAAATCTTGACATCTCCAGTGTCATAAATAAACTTATGCAAATATATTTTCTTACTATCTTGTCTTGTTGAGGCAGAGTACATTTCTTTGTTTGGGCTCCTTCTATACCCTTATTGACAGATGCTTGTTTTCCAGATACTCTGAATCAGAATTTGTACTTTCACTAAGATCCTAAAGTGATTCCTTTGCATTTTGAAGTTTTAAAACCATGGCTTGACCAGCTTTTTGACAGTGAGTGCCTTGAGAAGCTAATTAAAATTTTAAAATTAAACAAGTGATAAAATCAGATGCATTCTGAGCTTAAAATCAAGTATATTGAAAGAAGTTCCTGGCCTTCAGTCAGAATTGATAATACCCCAATCTAAACACATCCTGGTTATATTCCAACATTTAAAGAACAAAGGAGAAAATATTACAATTTTTTAAAAAAGAAATAACAACTTGCATACAAAGCACAAAAGAAAAACTATCTGGTGACAGACTTATCATGTCCTGTGTGAGAACAGAGTGATCATCTACTATAGTGAAAATGGGAAAACATAGAAGGTAGTGGAAAACACAGATGCTAAGGAAATGGAACTAACTGCAGAAATTCAGTACACAGCTAAGTTATAATGTGCTTGTTGTGGAGAAATAAAGGTAGTTGTATATTTGCAAGGATTCAGAGAATTTATCCTGCATGTATCAAGTTGAGGAAAATCCTGAAGACAAAACTCTAAAATCAAGTGATCCTGATAGAAATATGAAGGTAGGGAGATGACAAGAAGAAAGTGGAGGTGGGCATGGTGGCATAGACCTGTAGTCTCAGTCACTGGAAACACTGAGGCAGGAGAAACTTGAGCCCAGGAGTTCGAGGCCAGCCTCGGACAACACAGATTCAGTTTTGTTCTTAAAAAGTGATGAGCAAAGGAGTTGCTCATAAATTGTTGAATCAGAAGTAAAAATAAAAGCAAAGTTCTTTACATGCATTGTCATTAATTCCTTATTATAATCCTGGGAACTGAGTATATTATCTTTAGCCCAAAACACACTGGCTTTAAATAGGAAATCTTTTGTCCTGATTTCTGTGAGTCAAGAATCAGGGAGCAGTATCTCTGGTTCCAATCTCTCCTGAAGTTGAAGTCCAGATGTCAGTTGGGATTGCAGGTACCAGATGGCTGGGCTGAAGCTGCAGGATCCGCTCCCTGGATGGCTTGTCCCATGGCAGGTGGCTGGAGGACTCAGGTCCTCAGCACATGGGCCTCTCCCTAGGACAGCTGAATCCTTATAACAGGGCAGCTGGCTCCAACCAATAGGACACTCTAAGAGAAAGATGTAGAAGGCAAAGTGTTTTTTATGACTTCATCTTAGATGTCACCCACTGTCACTTCCACTTTGGTCTATTCATTAGGAATAAAACTGAATCCAACATGGGTTCAAAAGAAGGAAGCTGTGAGGTATTTTGGGGTTTTTTGTTTTTGTTTTGTTTTGTTTGGGGGGGGGGTTCTGGTACCTGGGATAGAACTCTGGACCTTGCACTTGCAAGGCAGGCAGAGGCACCACTGAGCTAAATCCCTGGATCAAGCTGTGAGGTTTTGAAGGAGGATCAGTGATGTGTAGACATTTTAAATTGACACAACAATGCTATTCTGTTTCCCTAAGTTTACACAGTCCACAGGTAGTCTGTCTTGAGCACCCAAGCTCAGAGCCATGGATGCTATCTTAAAATAGAGAGTCATTATGTTACAATAAAAGGTGAAAGTCAGGAATCAATTATGTCATAAATTTATATGCAAACAGTATGGCAGCTAAATAAGCTAAAAATTACTAGAAATGTAAGAGTTTGATAAAGTACACTTAATTACAAGAGATTTAATACACTATGAATTAGACTGATGCAGTAAATTTAAAAATTGCATACATAGGAAAATAGACTAACTCAACAAAGTTCATTAAATATATTCATTTCCTGGATAATATGCCTTTATGTCCATGAAATACTTCTTAAAATCAATAGTCACAGTATCTGATCATGGTGTACTGCAGATAAATGATTTAAAAAATGGTCAATAGTTCAAGTATTGGAAATTAACAAACACCTTCTATCATTCCATCAAAGGCAAAATCACAACTAGCATGACTAATTCTCCAGGAAGCAATTAAAAGAACCCTTAATACCAAACTTAAGAGACACACAAGAAATTGAATGCAAGGAAAAAATTTATAAACTTCAATGCCTACATTAATAAAGCATATCAGAAAAAAGAAATTTAGATTTTATAATAAGAAATCAGAAAAAGAGAGTAAAATTAAAGATGTCACTAAAAGATTAGTAATGAAGAAAATGGTTTAATTTAATGAAATAGAAAACAAAATAATAAAAGCTGCTTCTTTGAAAGAGTTTATGAAACAAAAAAAACCCATGATTCAGATTAGAGAAAAAAATGAATGTGTATTGTGTGTGATTAAAACTAAGGGAAGAGCTATCACCTCATAGTTTCAAAGAATTACAAATTAACTAAATGAAGTTATAGGGCAATAAATTTGAAAACAGAGGACACAGAAAATTGCATACCAAAATATAAATTATCAAAATGGGTCTTTATCTGAAGTAGAAAACACAAATAAATCAATATTTAGGTAAGAATTGTGATTTACAATGTATCATTAAAAAGCAGATCACAAAATTTTCTGATTCTATTTTCTCTCCATTCTTAAAGAAGAATTAATCTCCCTGTTATTCTAAATATTCCAGACCATAGGAAAGACAAGAAGGAAAATTCTTGGGAACAAAAAGGGAATCAAGAAGAAACAGGCCTCACCTATCAATAATGAAAACTCATTCAGGAACAAGAGGATTTTTGAAGTATTTGTTTCAGATTCATAAAAATTTCCCCATATAATCTTGGAGAAGCTTTACTCTAAGCCAAAGAAAAGTTCATATCCTGATCTAAATATATTTATCCACAAATTGTTCATATTCTAAAGAATAGCTGCTCAGTAGTCACTTATTAAAGAGATATTTTGTAATTGCTACAATATGAAAGAGTCAAGGTGAATTCCTAATGGAAATATTAAATAGAGCTTTAAGTTGTCAACTAATGTATTTCTCATTTCAAAATTATCTGACGTGTTTTCTTTTCTCTTTTGTAAAGAAACAACACAATATCTGTTATCAATATATGGTTTCCTTGTATAATCAACACAATCTTCAGTTACCATGCAGAATAAAATGGTAAATAGTCTTCCCTGTCACACAGTCACCTTAAATGATTTTTGTGATTTTTAGAGGGAAATAATATCAAAACATAGATGGGCTTTTTAAGAGATGAACTTGTAAAACATTTCAAAAACAAGACAACAGTAACACAACTTTACTAACCTTATCTCAATCTTATGAAACAATTCATAACAATTAACACATTTTATTTCCAGTTAAATAGACTGACACCCCACTTGTTATGCCATACCAATTCACATTTCAATTTTTTTCTAATTTAAATTCATTAATATACTTGATGCTATGAAAGAGCTACTGGATGGCTTGCCTTTCAAGCCAGTAAATAAGAATTTAAAACCTTCTGCAAACTGAGGCAGTTTATCTGGGTTTGCATCACAATTTTTATAAAGATGTGTGAGAGAATTCAATAGAATCACTTCCACTTTACAAAGAAAGCTTGGCACTATGTAAGAATTATTAAATTCATAACTCCTTTGAATAGTTATAATATGAAAATAAAATCTCATTTAATATCAGATAAAGATGGAAGTTAGATAGCAACAGAGAATTTAGCCAATGCACTAGTCTGTATCAGAATTTATGTTGCTGTTCTGCCACCTCCTGTATAGATTTGTTTTATGTAGGAACAATATTTAATATCTATTCCCTCTATTTTTTTCTTTGTGTCTTCCAAGTTCTGACAACTCTACTACCAAGTGGCTTAAGGCAAACATGGTAAAGTTCAATTTAAGAAGACTTTCCTTCTCAGGGAAAAAGTTTCTCACACTGCTATCTCAAAGTCCTCAATCAACCAACAATGTTTACCCAACTTCTATCCAAAATATGTGCACCAATTATTCTAATGTAATCTAACTCCTTTCAGTCTTTGAAAGGTATTTATTTCTTCCCAAATCTACCAGATTCTCAAATAATTTTAAGAACTTTCATTAGAATTAAACAAGGCCACTATTGACATCAATTCTGTCTCCAAAATGCAAAAATTTATCATTGTGAAGATAAAACTATGACCTGCAAGACAAATTCAAATTGTTCATTCATAGAAGCACCCCCCAAGAAACAACCACAATTTTGCCCACCAGAGCCAAGATGGAGCCCCTTTATGGATATGCCTGCTTCATGCATGGCTTATAAGGGCCATAATTACTCTGAGTTCACAAGCTGAGGCCGCAGGAACTGATGCACCCAAATAAATGAGGAAGGCTCATCACTGTGGAATGAACCTCCCTCCCTCTTTCTTCCTCCCTTTCTCTTTTCCTTTCTTTCTTCTTTCCTTTCTGCCTTCTCTCCTTTCCTTTTTGTTTTTCACCCTTCTTTTGCTTTAGTCACAGTATACTTTTTGTTCTTTGCATATTTCATGTCATAAACCATTTGTGAGTGTGTGTGTGTCTGTGTGTGTAGTCCTGAAAACTTTTAAAAACTTCTCTGAGTAGAAGGCAGGATAGGGGCAGGATAGGTTGCATACATTTTTTAAAACAAGCCAGGAGCAGAGGCACACGCACACGTGTGGTCCCGGCTACTTGGGAAACTGAGATAGGAGGATCAGGAAGATTGAGGGTTACTTGAGCCCAAGAATTCCAGGTTAGTCTGGGCAACGTGGAGCGATACTATCTTTCAAAAAAAAAAAAATAGGCCAGGGGTGGTGGTGCATCCTTGTAATCCCAGGTACTCAGGGGGCTGAAGCATGAGGATGGGAAGTTCAAGGGTAGCCTGGGCAATTTACCAATTTACCAGGATGGACGCTGTCTCAAAATCATAAATAAAAAAGGATGTAGCTCAGTGATAATGCACTGCTGGGTTCTATCCTTAGCACTGAAAAAGTAAATAAAGAGATAAATACATAAGTAAATAGCATGTTACAAATTTTACATTCACATAAGCAAAACAAAAGCAAAAACCGCCAGAATTTGCCTCCAGGAGAGTGTGTACATAGGGAGAGCAAGGGATGTTATAATGCATTATTGCTGATATAGTTGTTCTCATTTTTGTATAAATATAAAGTATTATAAATTCTAAAGTATGGAAAGAACATTTCTGGAAAGATTTTTCAAGAATCTACAGCAAGCGAAAGTAGATTCACTTTTCTTTTATTTCACATTTTATTGTATTTTTCATTTAATTTACTTTTGAAATTATTTCATTCTATATTTTATTTTTATTTGTTTTGGGGTGGGTGCTTTTTACCATATGCAGTTTTGCTTTTCTAGTAAATTCTATTTTGCTTTAGGGCAGGCCGCGGGAGAAGGCGAAAGAAGGGCGGAATCCCAAAGACAGCACCTTCCTGCCTATGCCCCACCCATCCACCCACTCACCTGGGAGCACCCTGCGCGCCCGCCACTTGGGGGAGCCCCGCCCTCTTGGGGGAGCCCCGCCCTCTCTGCACCTGGCGGTTGCCTGGCAACCGGGCCTGGCTGGGCCAAAGCTCACAATCGGCGCTGTCTCAGTGGGTCCCACCCCGCCCCCTGCTCTGGCCTGGCCGCGCCCTCGCCTTGCGCGGGGCCCGGGACCCATGGACACGCGCGCCCCTCCCTGCTGCACACTAGCCAGCTGGCCCGCTCTGCTGGAAGAGACGCTGGTCAATTCTGGGTCCACAAGTCGGACTCCCAGAGCCCAAGGTCACGACTGGGTACCGCGCCAGGTGACAGAGAACGATCCGGGTCCTCCGAGACCCCCTCACGGGCCCAGAGGAATTGCTGCCGAGAGATCTGCTGCTCTTGATAGTCCCCGCTCTTAAGAGGTGAGAACAGAACCTAGGTCCTTGCCGCTCAGCCTTTTCTTTGAAATTAAAAGTCTCTCCGCTCTTCTCTCCTCCAGATTTTTCTGACAAAACTGAAAGGCACAGTAGAGAACCCCTAGGATGTAAGCTGTGCCTTACTAGTAAGCAGAAAGCCACGGAAGTTTTAATTTATTCATAGCGACCCTGTACTGTGGGACTTTAGTAAATACTTGCCAATAATCGTCTCGTTTCATTTTCATCCACCCCCATGAAGTGGGTACTATCATGACCCCGAATTCACAGATAAATAAAGTGAGGTACAAACTAGGCAGGTTACCTGTCCAGGTACATGCAGCTAGTTGGTATAAATAACGATGTAGAGGAGAATGAATGGCAGCACATTCTCCCCTTAAATCCTCCACTCTTTCCATGGTAGCTCTGTTGTCTTCCTCAATTTCTCTTGCTAATGAACTTGCCGTGTCTCACTCTCTTGAGACTTTTACGAGCTCTAGGAGTCTCTCTTCATAGAGGAAAAATACATCTGGGTACACACATACTCACAGGTTTTCATATCCAAATATAGACCTCAAGTTCAGACATTCATCTGTCCACTGAGATTTGGTGTAGATGGTTAGTCAATATACACTAAGGTGGCCCAGGACCTTGAGGAAAAATTTAGAACCCAGAGCTAGTGGGCAGGAACTCTTTTTTTCCTTCAGAGTCAAGAAAGTTCTTGGTGTGAGTCTTAGTAGTTAATCATGGCGGGAGGGGGACGATAATAAACTGACTCACAGGCTGCTGGTTTCATCATTGGCACTTGATTGCACAATTTCACATGCTGCCAATGCTTTGTTTGGGATGAATGACATCAGAGACAACAGTGAAGTCTCTGATTAGCAAGTCCTTGTCCTCACAAATGAGGTGGGATCAATTCAGTACAATCAATAATCTATTTGGGAGTATTTTATCCATATGAGACATATGTACATATGCAATATATCACTGCACCTAAAACAAGCCATAAAAAGCAGCTGAAATAAACGTCATCAAGCCATGCAGCAAAGGCCAAGAGGATGACTCGGGCTGCCTCAGGGCTTCACACAGGCCTGTTTATACAGCATTCTAACAAGCTGCCCTGTCTGGCTTCCTAGTCTACCGTACAATATAAGGAGATAGGAAGGGAAGAGAGGGGTGACAGCAAGTAGAACGTTGAAGCCATAACCTATGTGATCACTGATATCCCAGCCACAATGGGGAATACCAAGGAAAGACAGAGAGCAAGGAGAAAAAAGGATGAGATGACTGAATTGTTATGGTTTGGGTCTGGATGTCCCCCCAGAGCCTCATGCAGTGGCTGAATCTGGAATGTGTGATGCTGGGATTAAGAGTGTGTGATTACTAAACCAGTACACATGAGTGATTGGCTTAGCATCACCCTAATCCCAGTAGTCTGGATCGGATAAAAAGGGCAAAAAGAAGGTGTTAAGGTCCTTGTTGGTCAAGGCACCATGGGGACACCATGAACTATTTCTCCTCTGCGATGCCCCTCTGTCATGTGCCACTCTGCCTTGGTGGCAGCTGATTATGGACTGAAACCTCTACGAACTGTGAGCTAAATAAACCTTCTCCCCTTTAACTTTAGGTGTCAGGTATTTTGTCTCAGTAACAAGTGAAAAGAGACTAACACAAGCATGTTTGATTTTGGTGGTTGCTGTCCTCCTGGCTTCTCTTGGTCTCAGCTGCCCAGCCACTGATGAAGACCTCAGAACTCAGCAAAATTCCACCCATAGACCAGGCTCAGCCCCTCTCCTGACTTCCTGAACTGTATGTTGCCATGTAGATTCTAACTCAGCTGCCTCAAAATTACTGTCTATACTACCTGAGAACCTGGAACCTTTCAGGAGCATCCTATCTCAGACACAAGTATACAGTAGTTTAAACCAGGAATGTGAGAGTTTTCTTTGGTTCCTTCTTTTCAAAGATTTTAACTTTTGGACAGAATTTATTGAGTGCTTTATGGAATGCCTCACATAGGTCAGGCTTTAGATTACAGAGAAATAATGGTAATATTTACTATATACAGTTTCTGTTCCACAAAGAATAAATATGATCTAGTGGTTGAGACATACAATGCACAAGTTGAATATCTAAAATAGTTTCAGACAATAAGTGCATTGGAGAAAATAAGGGGAAGAAGGAACATGGTGGCTGAGATTTAACAACAGAACTTGTAGGAAAGAGCATTCGGAGGCAGAAGTTACAGGAAGTGCAAACTTTCAGGGAGAGGGAGGAGCTTTTGTTCATAAACAGAAAGAAAGCCAATGTGGCCAGTGATCACTAAATCAGGGGGAAGTGGGGTGAAGTAAGATCAGAGGGAAAAGTTCTTACTAGATCACAATGTTGAGTTTTTTCTGACTATATTGGGAAACTATTCAAATACTTTTAGAGAACTTTTGGGCATGAAAGTAACATTCTAAATCTTGATAGCCGTTTCAGCTACACAAGTATGTGCATTTTTCAAACAAATGGGATGGGACATTTAATACTTGTACATTTTATTATGTATTCAAAATATGAAAAAAGGATACATATATATTGAACTCCACTTAAGTGTGTGGATGTGGGAATATGTCTGCTGTTTATCGAAAACTCAATCCCCCCCTCCAAAAGAGCTGGATGAATGGATAGAGGGATGGATAGACAAGTGATAAAAAACATTATTGGTAAGATCTCAGTGGTTGATGCATAGGTTTTCAACACTCACTTTATGTTTAAAAATGTTTATACTAGGGCCAGGGTTTTAGCTCAGTGACACCAAGCCTGCCTTGCAAGCACAAGGTCCTGAGTTCGATCCCCAGTACTGCAAAACAAAAACAAAAAAAAAGTCTATGCTAAAATGTTGGGGTGGAAGCCTGTTGGATCTTATCTCATCTCCATTTTAAAAATAGTTTTCTGTTTAGAGAACGAACTATGTGGGGCTGCTGTGGAAGCAATGAGACAGATTAGAAGACTGTGGCAATGCTTTGGTCTAGGGTAGTGCCGCAGGTGGATGTTAGGATATATCTTGGAGATGAGTGGACATGGTTTTCCTGAATGATTTCTTGGTGAATTTAAAGATGAGGGTCTGTGAGGGAAAGAAAGAATGGAGGATAATTCTAGTGTGTAATCTGAGTAAGTAGGTGGATATTGATGCCATTATTAGAAACTGGGAGAAATGGAGAAACACAGGGTGATAACAAGGGTTCTGCTCCAGCTGGGCACAGTGGCACGCACACTCCTGCTATCCCAACTACTCAGAAAGTGAACACAGGAGGATTGCAAGTTCAAGACAAGCCTGGGAAACTTAGCAAGACCCTGTCTTCAAAACAAACATTTTTTAAAAGGGCCAAGGATGTAGCTTGGTGTGAAGCCCTTGGGTTCAGTCCTCAGTACCAAAAACAAAGGAGGCTGAGAATTTAGCATACCACTCCCTGGGTTCAATCTCCACTACCTAGGAAAGCAAAACAAACAACAAAGAGCTCTACTCTGGACATGTTACATTTGACATCCACATGAGAATGACGACTAGACAGGTAAATACATAGCTTTTGCTTTGCATGGTACTAAATATTGAACTCAGGAAATGTTGAGCTACACCCCCAGCCCTTTCTTTTTGTAACCAAGTCTCACTAAGTTGCCCAGACTGTCCTTGAACTTGTGAGCCTCTGGCCTCAGCCTCCCAAGTAGCTAGGATTACATAAATGTATCACCACACCTGGCTAAATATATAACTTTTAAGCTCTGGGCAGCCAGTGATGCCTGTACAAACTTGAGAGTAAACAATCAGAAGCTGAAAATAGGGCTGAAGGTCAGGAGATGGAATGAGCCACCAAGAGAGTTGCTGAGAATCAAGCAGAATCCTGATGACCTGGCCCTGGGCACAGCAGCAGTGAGGCATCTGACAGAAGAAAGGGAGCCAGCAATGGTGACTGAGGAAGAGTGAATGTAGTGTCAAGTAGAAACAGCCATGGAGATTGTCTGGTTGCCCAGAGAGACATCTTTAAAGAGGGAGCAAGTGATCTACAGTGCAACTCACTGCCATGGAGTATGTAGGTGAGGGAGCAGGTTTGTGCTGGCAGATGTTATAGCAAAATAGAATCTTTCTAATGCAAATGTTGGGAACTCAGCTCCTACTCATGAAACCCTTAATGTAATGTGAAGGGCAACTTCTGGCACAGTGGGACCCAGGGTAAAACTGATGCCACCAGTCTCAGCTCCCCTCCATCTTTCCCACATGTTCTCTCCCTGTAACAGCTAGCATATCTCCTGTAGCTCCAGCTCCACACCCCACTATTTAACAATTTGGGGAGAAATAGTCTTTTAGACTATTAGATGAGATAGTTCTGGTAGAAGAATCTAATACCTGATACCTGTTATGAGAATATGTTTGAGCAGTCTAGTGTACCTGGAGAAGGATGGTTCACTCAAGATGGGCCATGCCTAGGTCACAGACCCTTTTCTGTAGCAGAGCACCGCCTCATCCCCACTGCCTAGAATGGATTCCTCATGTGATAATCGGTTCTTTACCCAGAAACAAATGAAGGAGGAAAAGCAAAGCTGGGCACACCCACTGAGCCCACTATGCAATCCAAATACTTATTTTTTTCATAAAGAATAGAAAGAAAGAATTACATAATAGAATGCACATGGTAATTTGTGAAAACTTACAATTCTCTTTAAAACTATTCAAGTACCTCATTCCTACTTAAGATGACACAGGAATCATTTATCATACCTTTGTATCTCACAGACCCCAGATTATTATATAAAATTATTACCGCAAAATTCCATACATTCTGTATGATCTTTCAAAGCTATGAAACCTGTGTGGTTTCTTTTTGGGGGGGGGCGGGTACCGGGGATCAAACTCAGCTCCATGCACTTGCAAGGCAAGTGGCGGAAGCACTGAGCTAAATCCCCGGCCCCTTATGTGGTTTCTACATTGTGATGAACATATTACTGATGTGAAGCCACAGAGGTAGGAGCTTGACAACCTAGTTAACCTCATCTTCTCCAAGGTAGAATGAAAAAGCTGTTTTAAAGAGGGAAGGTTAGATGAGATAAGAAAAAATAGCCACCTTGCAAACTAGCATTGATTAAGATTTTTAAAAATACTTTAACTTTATGCTAACTGAATATTTTTAAGTTTATACATAATTTCTATTTTCTGAAATCGGTTGCAATAAACTGTGATAACATCATTGCCTAAGAAACAGCTGCTCTTCCAAGGGACATATGCTTTAAAATATTTTTAATTAACAAAAATAAAGATAAAATTAAGCTTGCAATACTGATTTTCTTTCTTTTTATTTATTTATTAATTATTTGGCTGCTGTAGTTTTTTTTTTTTAAGCCAGGAAAACAAGCATCTTTAAGAAGCTGGTCAAATATGGCGTTAGCAGATAAGAGACTTGAGAACTTGCAGATCTACAAAGTTCTTCAGTGTGTTCGGAACAAAAACAAGAAGCAGATAGAGAAGCTGATCTGGCTTGGATACCCTCAACTAATCAACTTCACAGACTCTGTGGATGGACTTAGTGCTCTGCACTTAGCTTCAGTTTCCAATGACGTTGATATGGTTAGCTTTCTCCTTGAACTCGGAGCTCACCCTGATGTGCAAGACCATAAGGGCTGTACCCCAACAATGAGGGCTGCTGAACTGGGCCATGAGTTGTCGATGGAAATATTAGCCAAAGCAAAGGCTGATATGACTATAGTTGATAATGAAGGGAAAGGTAAAATATCCCAACATTCTATCCAGTAGAATGCAACTCACTTTGTAGCCAGATATCAATTAAATGGATTTAAGAGGGTTTTAAATTTTGTTTTCCAAATTTAGAAGTGAATTACTTGTGGTTTTAAGTAAAAGGATACATTCTCATTCCTGTACCTAAGGATATTGACTCCTCATTATTTGAAAACAGTTCACGTATATCTTAGGGAAAATAGTTATGAGAGCTTGATCATTGAAAATGAAAATAAGGATTGGATTAACCTGCATTTAGTGGCTTCTTTTAAATAAGGAGAATTTTCAACATTACACATGCTTAACTGATAGTCCCATAATCATAATCATCTATTACAAAATACAAAATCTTGTTAGAAGAAAAGATCCTTACACATTGGAACCTTGGGTAGTACTAGACTTAGGACTCCAGAAAAATTGTGTCCTTTCTCAATAGCAATCTGATGTGAAAAGGACTTGCATTTTAGAATTTGAGAGGACTAAGGTGGATTCTGGCATAAGCTAACTTACTAAGATCAGTTTTTTTCTCATACTGGGGAACTGGACCCAGAGGTACTCTACTGCTGAGTTACATGTCCAGCACTTTTTTATTTCTCATTTTGAGACCTCCCTAACTTGACCAGGCTGATCTTGAACTTGTGATCTTTCAATATCAGCCTCCCAAGTAGCTAAGTAAGCTTCTAGAGTCAATTTTTTAAATATTTTGATATGACTTGAAATTTTAGACATGACACTTGGAGGATTATTCAGTTGAAAAGAGCTGTACTTCCACATTCTCTGCCCTCCTTAGCCCCATGTCCAGACCACAGCCTGGAGTTTCTTTCCTAAATAACTTGAGGTTCAGGCAAGATTTGACCTGGCCTCAAGAAAAACACCACAATAATTACCATCAGGCTTAATATAAATTGATAGATTTAATCAGTTGTCCAAGAGAATTACTACAAGTGCAAAGCCATTAATGTCAGCCCGGCACTGGGGAAATGAATCCTGTTTTATAATATTAATGTTTTCTGACAAGACCAAAGTCTACTTTTGTAATTCTCTCCAGACTTAATATTTGATAGATGACTTGCTTAAAACAAGAGTTAAGAGCGAAGAAAAGGAAAAGTTATTTAATTGAATCACATAGCAAAATAAATTTCAGATGCTTTTAGAGGTCAACTGTGCTTTAAAATGTTAAATCTTGGAACAACAAAAGTCTCTGAAGTTTTATAGAGTACCATCTTCCAAAGTGTGCTTCATGGACCCTGGAATCACTGGGCTGTTAAAAAATGCTACATGCAGAGCTGTTGCCACTGTTGAGTTCATTAGGGAATCATTGAATAAAATGAATTCAGACATGTTTCTTTCACATTATCAGACCAAAGACGGTAACATTTTCCATATTTATTTGACCATGAAATAGTTTTTTCATATGGCATCAAATATACTTGGAGTTTCGAAAGTTCAATTTTGAGAAACACTATACTGACACACAAATATATGTCAGCCAAAAATTGAGAAATTTTATACCATAAAGAGATCAAAATTATAAAGTTTTTAAAAGTCAAATAAAAATGAAAAACAAGAACACCTACATATCCGTAGCAAAGGCAACAGCCATATGGTTAATGTTTATGCTCATTCAAATTAATATTAACTCTGTTAAGGTTCTGGAAAATAAATATTGTGAAAAAGCAATTAGACAAATCCTATAGGAAGAAATTGAAAATATATAGTGAAACTTGAAACAAATATAAAATCTTGTTTCACTTGTAAGCTTGCTAGTCAATTCGGGGTGGTTTGTAGTTTGCCTGTGACCCTGGTCTCTCCCCATCCATTCCTAATCCTGGCTCACCTTGCACACCCTTGGCTGGTAGCCACTTACTAACTGCTTCGCTCATCTTACAGTTATCTCTCTGCCGCTAGCATCCTGTTTCCTGGTGACAGATGTTTGACTCTCTGCACATTTGTTTCTAAAGGATAAGCAAACATTGAATTAGTTAAATGGATCTTTCAAAGGATATGAGATATGCTGTAGGCCTGAGCTGGGCCCACATGGACTAACAGAATTGTGTATGTCCTCATTACAAAATATCCATTTCATAAGTGCCTTAGGGAGGGCCTTTTTAAAGAAATTTAGTCTTGTATGGTGTTGCTTAGTTTGTATTTATTATTATGTTGTTGTTGTTGTTGTTTTAGTCAGTCTTGCTTTCCATCTTGCCGTTTGATTTTCTCTTTTCAACTATGTCTTTGAAGATCTTTTTTCTTGGTAGGGGTGAGGGTGCTAGGAATAAAACCCAGGGCTTCATGGATGCTAGGCAAGCATGATATCACTGAGCTATATCCTCAGGCCCCTCTTTCTTTAAGTATTCTGACTAACCTATTTTAGGTGCATCTGTTTATATGAAATATATATAGGTTTTTATTTCATATAAATTATATTTTTAAATTTTAATGGTAAATTTATCTACTTTAAATTGTTTTATTTTGTTCTATGTATTTTCCTTCTAGTTGCATTTTCTGTTTTTAGTTCTCTTAATGGACAACTTGATAGCTCTCTGTACTCTTCAACATGTTTATTCAGTTTTATCTTCAGCTGGACTCATTGATTCCTTTTTTCTTTTTTTTTTTTTTTTTTGGTACCGGGGATTGAACTCAGGTCCTTGCGCTTGTGCAGCAGGCAGTGAAACCACTGAGCTAAATCCCTGGCCCATAGATTCCTTTTTTAATGTAGTTTTTATCAGTACATGTTTGCAGTACATAATGATTACATTTATCAGGGCGAGTTTGTACATGTATATAACACATTTTAATTCGTTTTTGTCTCCTTGTCCTCCCATCCTTCCCTGCTCCCTCCAACTCTTAATCCCTTTCTCATTTAAAAAACTCCATTGCCATTTTTTCTTCCATTCTTTCTTTAGTCTTTCTCCCCTTCCTTCACTCTCCCTCTTTCTCTTGTTCCTCTTCCCCTTTGAAAAAGATCTCCCTACTTCTTATTATTTATCCTTTATTTTCCTCTTTATTTATATTTTGGGGTCCTCATATAAGAGAAACCATGTGATATTTAAACTTGTTTGTCTGGTTTATTTCACTTAACACTGAAAATTGAGATAGTATACAATAAACATTCACCTTGTGTGGCTCCTGCCCACTACCCAAGTTTATGCCCAAATACAATTGCTTATTTCTTTCAATGATTCCTTTTATATTTTTAGATAATGCCTGCCTTTAGCTTCATCTTCTTATAGTCTTTAAATATCTCAGTCTCCAGCACTAAAAAATTTAAAAATCAAATGTTTATGTTCTCTGTTCTTTTCTTTCTTACCTCTAAGTGTTTGTTAAATTATATTATTTCTACATTATAATGAATTACGGTGTTCTTTTTGGTATCTAGAATTCCTAAGGTGAGTTGATTTTATGGTTGAAGAAATTCTTTTAGTCATATATTCTCCATTGGTCTCTTGGTAAACTCACTTTTGCCATCAAAGTAATTTGGTCTGCTTCTTAGGGCTTATGTCCTTGATTTCATGCATCCTTACTGTTTTTTTATGTCTATTAGTGATTTTATGTATGCCAGCAACTTGATTGGGTATGAAAATTCCCTATTTTCTTTCCCAGTGACATTGTAGAGATCCTTTAATTACCCTCTAGCGTAGAATGTTGCTGTGGCAAATTCTTGAGGCAAGCCTGACTTTTCTGTTTTAGACATGAGCCAGACTTTTATCTGGATGTTCACAGAAAACTCTCTTTACTGGGCTTTTCTTCAGTTTATCCTATTAATCATTCTTAATCAACTTCTCCTAAGACCCTTTTAATCTTAAGATTCATGTTTTTCACTTTAAGAAAGTCTTTTAATATACTTCTATATGATTTTTCAGTTCCTTTTGGCCTTTCATTATTGAAAACTAATTATATACATGTTGAACCTTCTTTATCTCTGTAAACTATTTCAACCCTTCAATCATTCCCAATTACATTTTTCTTAATTTTTTTTCCGTATCACTGTCTGCTGTCCTTTTTCTGCTTTTAATTTGATTTTCATTTCTTTGGGTTTTTGTCCACTGTTTCTTTCCTAAATTCTTTTGATTCAATTTAATCTTATCCTTCTATTCATCTTATTTTTTCTTCAGTCTTTTTTGGTCTTGGTCTATCTTTGCACTTCTATTTAATTTCTTTGTTAACATAGACAGAATCAGTCATTAATTTTCCTTGGTATAATTTTTCTAGAGTATGCTTTTTACATGGATTTCATTATCAGTTGCTTACCTTTCTCATAGTGTCTTTTTCATAGGTCACATGCTGATTTCCTTTTAGTTACTGTTCCTCTTTGAATGAAGCCTCTTTCTGGAGTGAGATTATTATAAAGTCAGTTTACAGTTTGGTTGTTGTCTACCCAGTACTTTATTAACATTCTGTCTTGGGATTAAAACCAATACTTCTGATACATAGTGCATTTTTGACAAGAATTACATTGGGGGCCCATATATTATAGGTCCATAGTGTAGGGATTTAACATTATTTTTTCTTTGGTGGAACAAAATGATTTGCCAAAATGGCAAAACCAATTGTCTTCTAATTTTCATCTCACTTCTACTACACCTAGAGTCTGCTCCTTACAAACATGTGTTCAAGCCCTCTGGCATACATAGCTCTGTAGTTCTAAGGGACACATGGAGTAAGGAATATAAAATGCCAAATCCCAGGATTGACAAGGGCTCCCATGTCAACATTCTGATTCTTCTCTAAACCAGGTCCTGTGACATAAAGTGGTAACTGTTTTCTAACTTTATCAAAGATTTCCTCTTTATTTTTCTGTCTTGGTGTTTTAGATCATTTCAGAGGGGAAACCAAGGCAGATATGCCTTTGCTGTGCTATCTTTAACTTGTTAAATATGGATTTTAAGTTATCCCTATTTTTCTGCCAGGTTCAAATATGTACATAGGTTGTTAATTAAGTATTCTTTGGAAATTCTGCTCTTCTTCAGGCATTTTATTTTACTGCATTCTACCTACTAAGCGGCATTATCGCTGTGCTTTGATTGCCCTTGAACATGGTGCAGATGTCAACAATTCTACCTATGATGGAAAACCAGTGTTCCTTAGAGCCTGTGAAGAAGCCCATGATATTAGAGAGATGTGCCTGACGTTTTTGGAAAGAGGAGCTGATCCAAATGCTATCAACTCAGTATGACTATTCCCGTAGTTATAAATACTTCCTTATTCTATAACAGTGTCATATTAATATATTTTTTGCCTTTAAATATGAGAAAATTACTGTTAGCTTATAGATTTTTCAGTTTGACTCAAAATACTTGAAATCAATATACTTTTATTATCTTTATATTGCCACTATTTTATAGTTTAGTTCCTAATTATGTTTGGAAAATTCATACTTATTATGCATAATATCATAATATCATTATAGAAAGCAATAGAAATGTATAACTGATACATAATAAAATTTATCTTCTTGGAACAAAAATATGTAGCTCCACTGTTTCTCTTAGGCATTTTGTTTCCTTTCCTAACTGGCTAATTTTACTATTTTCTTTTCTTATGATTATCATTTCCTGACACACAAAAAATAGATTTTACTCATTAGAAAATGGAAACAAAATATTTGCAAATAGGAAGGGGTGGAGGGGTTGAAGGGAGGGCAGAGGAATGGGGAAAAAATAAGAACCAACATACATCATGTAAAGGTACAAGTTCCCAATGATGAACATAACTGTATTATATACCTAAAATGTACCAATAAACTTAATGAAGGAAAAAAAAGAAAACATTTGTGACCTAATTTGGCATTTATATACCCTCAATAGTCCCTTTTTGCTCTGCTTTCCTTGCAAGAGATGCATTTTTTAAAGCATGTTATCCTTTCTCACAGAGTCAGGTAGAGTAAGCTTGACTATTCTACATTTTAGAAATTAACCCATTGTATTTGCTTAATATTTCTTCATTGTTATATGAAACTAATGAAAATGCAAAGAACTAAACTTCTCAGTATAAGGTGAAGGTCAATCAATTCAAACCGTATTTATATTGAATATGTTATTTAATGTGACAAGTGCTGTATAAACAATGTTTGATCTGTCTCCTCTGAAGTCCACAGGTCGCACCGCTTTAATGGAGGCATCAAGAGAAGGAGTGACAGAATTAGTTCGGGGAATATTGGAAAGAGGAGGTGCAGTGAATACATTGGACAGTGATAGACATCATGCTGCTCATTTTGCTGCCAAAGGAGGCTTTTTTGATGTAAAGATCTCTTTGCTTTTAAATTTGTTTCTAAAATTTTGTCTCTTTTTTCTCAAAAAACTTTGTATCATGTAGGTTCCATTGAAAAAGGTTTTTTTCTAAGATACCTATGTTCTTTTCATCTTCAGTTCCCCCAAATCTAAAATTTAGCTTTCATAACATCTTCCAGTTTTTTATTCAGTTTTATCTATTTGCTACTCTATTTACTAAATATTGCATATGTTTGACTATGATGATTAAAATTTGTGCCACCTGAGCCTATGCTACTTTATCCCTTCATTATGTATTAGAATTGTCAAAATATAGTCTGATCTAATTGCGGGGAGAACAAGACCGCTACACTCTCATCTCCTCAGCATTTGTGTGCAACTAATGATACATCTGAATTTTGAACTCTGATTTTAAACTCTAAATTGCCTGATATTTTAGCAAAGAATCTCTCATAAATACAGTGACATCACAGAAACAAAGTAAAAATCAACATTAACCATTTTTTAAAAAATTCTGAATTTCATTTGTCTTTACTCAGTTTTCCTTGAGCTTTGACATAGTTACCTTTGTTTTTGTCATGGAGTCTGTTAGGTACTAAGAGCACATAGGTCACATTAAGTAGACAGTTTGCTCCCTGATGATGTTTGTCATATTCTGCTTTCCTAAATTACTTCCATTTTCCAAAATGAGAGTATCCCAGCTGAGTACAGTTTTCTGTCCTCTAAATCAATGCTGTTTGATAGAATGTTGAGCCATGATGGAAATGTCCTATATCTGAGCTGCACAATACAGTAACTACATGTGGCTTTTGAGCACTTTAAATGTGGTTGATAATCAAGCTAAGGAACTAAGATTTGGGTTGTTTTAAATTTAATTCATTTCATTTGAGCATTCAACAGTCGCATGTGGTTAATGGACAATATACAGGATAGCATAGGTCTACATGCTATTCTTCTTTCACTAAATGTACACTCCTAATCCTCTATAATATTCACTTTTATTTTGCAGATACTGAAGCTTCTTTTTGCTTACAATGGAGACATGGGGATGATCGCAATGAATGGGAACACACCACTTCATTACGCTGCTATGGGCGGTTTTACCAACTGTTGTAAATATGTAGCTCAGCGAGGTAAACTGTCTAATAATTTTGTGTCTAAAGTGTTTATGGTTTACAAGTGTCATAGATGTGCAGAGAATTTGACCCTGTTTCTTGTCAGTTGCTTATCTTTTTCAATAGCAAAAGCTTACTCAAATATAGAAAGAAATTTGGAAATTTTTTCCTATAACATCTGTTGAATCATGAAAATAATGTGCTAAAAATAGTGAAAAATAATGTTAGTGTTAAAAATACTGAAACGCCATTTTTCCAAAAGGTTGAGGTAATTGTTAAAAATTTCAAGGGGAGTGTTCTGAGTTAATTAAATATGAAAATGCTTAAATTGATTAAATTCCTTAAAGTGACAACATAAATCTTAAAAAAGACAAAAATTAGAAATTATTTCCTTTACTACAAGATTTTCATTATTTTAGAAGTGTTCTTTTTGTCAACTTTCTGATATAGGGGCAATATTTGGGAGAGAAACATGAAATAAAATAAAAATTGTTATGGAAAATTAAAAATGTAAAGCAGTATGTTTTAGATTTTTCTTACAGCTTTTAAGTAAATATTAATTTTGGGAATATAAACTATATTATGTACACTATTGCTCAATGAGTTCTTTAAAATGAAAATATTAGCTAATTAAGTTGAAAGATAAGGATCCATTTGTTGTTTGTTACCTATTAATTGAAATGTACATCAAAAGTTTACTAGAAATAGAATTGCATTTTTCTGAATTTTTTCCAGCTTATAAAAACTAAGCAAGAACTTAAAGTCAACACAAAGTATATAACAGATCAGAGAAAGTGTTTTTTTCTTTTTTGTCCTCTACACAGGTAGAGAATTTTAGAAGTCACTAGGACCTAAGGATCCTCTACTGTAACTATTAATATAAATAAGACTAAAAGGACTATATGACTTACAGAATAATAGTTGACCCATTTTTACTCTTATAAATTTATAACTGCTCCCTTTCCACCCCTACTATAAGCCCTTTTAATAGGTAAAGAAGAAAAATATATTGAATGTAATTTTTATCCTCTCAAACTGTCTTATTGGTCTTATTTTCAAATCTGTTGCTATCAGCATTTTATTTTGACATCTCGTTTTAAAATTTTATATTTCTAAAAATCTGTAATCTTCTCAGGTTGAGACAAGCTTATTCAATGATGACTTTTTCATATTGGGACAAATATCACTACACATATACTGTACCTTTTATATATTCTTGGGATAAAGTCACAAAAAGTACATTGAGAAGCAAAGGACAAGAACTTGGTTCTTGCATTAAAACCTTGACCAATGAGGCAGAAAAGATCTGTCTTTCTGAGAGACTCATAAGACTGTATTTTTGAAGCCAATATCTGAAAATGTTTTAAAATTTTTAGTGTATTTGAGAGTACAAACTCATCATCAGATCCTATACGGGTGACCAATTCCATAGCAGAAGTATTAGCATTAGCCCCAATTCCATCTTTAGACTCAGATCTAAGGCTACCGGAGTAGCCAGAAACAACTAGCAATGAAATGCTCATGTCTACAAAAATGCCCTGGGTTTAGTTTCTGCTATGCTTAAATGTAAAACAGTTGTCCTGGCTGGATTATTTTCCTGCATGAAAATTTCTTGCTCAGTATCATCCTCTTTTGATGCCTTGTCCTATTTTTGGAACAATTTACAGCTCCCTGTGAGCAATGTGAGAGCCATACCTAAGACAAAGCAAGACAGTCTGGGCAGTCTTCCAAGGTGTCTCATGAGAGTTTTCCTCCTCCAGGGCCTTGCCTCCCTGTGTTTTACAGCATCAGCCAGCAGGAAGCTGAGCATCTTTACTATGGAGGAATCTAAATCATAGAGAGAATGAAGGGGTCTTTATTTACGGTATTAAGGGGGGATATTGACTCTAGAACCTGTAAGCATACCAAACTCCAAGGATGCCCAAGCTACTTATACAGAATGGGACAATGTATGTACGTAGCCTAGGCACATCCTTTTCAATGCTTTAAATCATTGCTAGATTACTTTTAGTACCTACCTAATATAATGCAATGATATATTAATAGTTGTCATACTGTCATTCATGGGGAAAAACATCTACACACTTCAATAGATGCAATTTATCCCCAGTATTACGTATCATCAATTGGTTGGATTTCTAGGTATAGAACTTATAAATAATGAGGAATGACTATAATAATAAAGGAGGAGATAGAAAGTCCCAACTCAAAGAAAGGCAAAATGCCTTCAGGTCTTGTAGACCAGCTGGATGATGGGGGTTTTTATCCACACAAAGATTCCTAACTAAGAGGAAACCAGCAGCCCATGGTTGTGAGTTAAGCAGGTCTAAATAATCCTGGACCCTTAAAGCTGCAGTGAACATAAAAGGGTGGCTTGAGAGGTGGTAGGTAAAAGCCCAGACATGCTGACTAAGCAAAATAGCTGAGTGAAAACAGTAGTGTTGGGATTACTAAGGAATTGCACTATGGAACTAATATTCTGTGGACTTCTACTATTGAAACTATTCTCAGGGTCCCCTTCCCAGTAAGTCACTGTTCTTTTTTTTTTTTTTAGAAACTAAATGTTAGACATTTAATATTTTTAAGTCACTGTTCTTAAAACTGATACCAGACTTTTATAATCCTCACTGTCTTGATACCTTTTTTGAATTTTTCTATTTCTAACAAAAATAATCAACCTATATTTATACTATAAATATAGTATACTATAGTATACTATAAAGTATAGAAATACTTTTTGATAATACCAGAGAAAGTATTAATCTTTAAAATATTGGTGATCTTTTTTTCTTTTCTTTCTTTTCTTCACTCTCCCTTTGGTTTCTGGGTGTTTCTTTTCTTCTCTCAAACACACAAAAGTAGAACTATATCATGAACCCTGCTGTGTCCATCAAGGGAAGGGTCTTTTGACAAGAAATTTCTGCACACAGCTACTTGTACATTTTGATTGCTAGAGTTACTAATTAGATATCAATTTTTTATTATATTATGTTGGCAAAACAACAGCTAAGCATTCTTCTACACCAAAAATACCAGAAAGAGCTATTTCATAGAATGACTTACTTATATACGGAATGGATTTTTAATGTCTCAAGATCATTACAGATAACACAGCCTTTTTGGTAACACCTAAATAGATTCCCTGATGCATTCAGAAAAGTTTAGTTCTTTGGGGAATATTTGCAAATAATGTTAGTCCTCTCATTTTACATTGGAGACCCAAAAGGAAAATGAATTTTTTTATTTTTGGTACCAGGGATCGAACTCAGGACCTTGCACTTGTGAGCCAGGTGGTGGTACCACTGAGCTAAATTGCTGGCCCAGGAAAATGAATTTTGGTGTATAACTTGTACAAAAATATAAAGCTGGAATCCTCAGATTTGATTAACAAATTACATTTCCCTCTGTTAAAATTGTTCACATGACTTTCCCACAAAATATCAGATTAGTATAAATTACCTTACTTCAGTGGGGTAAATATAAAATATTGTTGAAGATTATACACAGATTTGTAGTCTAAATCATTCAAGAAGAAGCATGTATCTTTCAGCATGCTGAGCCAATAAAGTTCTATGTAAGCTATCTGAATCTAGAGTCTTCTTCCCAAATGCCAGTGTATCCTCTCTTCTTCTGTTGGCATAAACTCTCCTCAACAAGAATCTCAGTTGCTATTTGTTATAAATATTTACATTTTTATCCAAAATACCTATTTACCTATAGGATGAATATCTTACTCCTTTGTGAGTGGACAAAGATCATAAACTAATCCCCCTCAGAATTTACCAAAGTGAAGCCAAATTGCAGCTTGAATGGATAATTATAATAGCTAAATGGATAAGATTTTAGGATAAACTTCTGATGAATACTAAATTTAATAGAACAATTGTTTATGAGTCATTTATAGGGCCATACAGATGCCCTAGTACTAATAATTGTATTTCCTGTTTTAGGATGTGACCTGAAATGGAAGAATTTAGACCATAAAACACCAAGGGCTTTGGCAAAAGAAGGTGGCTTCAAAGCAGCTAGCAAAGAAATTCATCGAGCAGAGCGAATTGCTAATAAACTGGCCAAACCAGGAGCCAAAAATCCTAATCCACTCTGGGCCCTCAGATTACATGATTGGTCCATAGAACATGAGACTTTTCTTCGGGAAGTCTTTTCATTTGTGGACAGAGGTGATGGGTCAGTCACCAAGGAAGACTTTGTGATGACCCTGGAGGAGAGGCAAGAGTACGCCAGCTCTGAACAGCTGTTTTCAATAGCTCAACTTCATGAAAAATTCCAAGGAGGAGGGGTCAATATTAATGAGTTCTTTAAAGGAACTAGATACCTAAACAAGTCTTTTGTCTTGGGATCTTATGGACCTAAGAAAAAGAAAAAAGGGATGGGCAAAAAGGAAAGGAAAGGCAAGTTTGTTATACCCCTCCCAGTCTGCGTCATTCCTGATGATGCATTTCCACATCGATCAGATGGTGGGCCTCCATATTACATGATTGAAACCTACCAGAATGTAACTGATTATAGCCGGTTTAATCAAGATCACCCACCAGAACATCCCATGCAGGATGATTCTGCTTGGTACATTGATGAGCCAGGGAAGGTATTTTCAAATATTAATTTTATCACCAAGGCAGGAGACCTAGCATCTCTGAAAAAGGCATTTGAATCGGGAATACCTGTGGATATGAAGGATAAATATTACAAGACACCACTAATGATGGCATGTGCAAATGGAAACATAGATGTAGTCAAGTTTCTTCTTGAAAAAGGGTATGTTTTTGGTTAAGTGAGGTTTAAATTTGTATGAGTCTTCACATTTCAAGGAAGCAAAAGAAGTCATAAGAAGATTCAGTTCCAGAATTTTTGTAGTATAAAAAGGTACTTTATCAGTGAAGTCTATAATAAATATATCTGATTTGAGAATCCAAACTAATGGGAACATAGGATTGTGTATGCATAAAGATAGTTTGCTAATAACAATTAACCGCAAAGTGAAGGCCAACAAATTTTCACTGTGGGGGTAGAGGGATCTAATTGGGTATCAATGGCTTCTTGTCAGGGACCAGACAACTCAATTTGATGTGTGTTCTACCTGGATGATGTGGAGTCACTTTTTAATTTGCCTCTTTTTGGTGATGGCCTCAATAAATTTAAACAAATGGGATGGTGGCCTCAATGGCTAAGGACATATTCTGGCCACTCTGTAACCCAATATCTACCTCAAAGAGGGAAAGCTTTTCATTGGTTCATGTTCAGATATCTTTAAAATATCAAAACATGATGTTTTCATTTAACTTTTTTTTACTAAAATAATTGCTCATGTCTAATTTCTTCTATAGTTACATCACCTGGGGGTACTTTTTTCTTTTAACATTTCTGTGTCTTAGTTTTCTCATGTGATAGGGGCTCCAGTGGGACTCATTTCAGAATTTGTTAGCAATTAAAGGAGTTAAAAGATGTACAGCACTGACTGGTACAGTAATTGTATATTCAAAAAAAGACATTAATGTTATTATTACCATAACATTTAATGTTGAAGATTCAAATTTCTGTATTATCAAGAGATATATAAAGCAACTAAGGAAAACTTGAACTATTGGACAGTGAAATGCTAACAAGGACTAAAATCTTAATATAATGCTTAGATTTTAATAATGAAGGTTCATTTAAAAATTCATAGCTTTAGAGAAATAGACACAAAGTGGAATAATAAAATTTTTTTCTGTCAGCTTTTCTCCCCATTGGGTCCAGTTTTATAGTTTTTATTGATTTTTAAGCTTTGCAAACAACTGTAATCTCTAGAATCCAAATGCCTTTCAAAGCTCAACAAACTATATCTGCACACAAAGAAAGTTAAAACTGTAAAATAATGCAGAACAAATAGGTTACAAAACTTATGACAGACTTTACTCAGAGCTCTTTTGGTTTATAATTTAAAACTTGATAAGCTGTATATGAAATCTCACTTTGCCTTTTTACTTTCCAGTGCTGGGAATAACTAAAATTTTCAGTGTGTGCACCTATCTTACAGGGCGAATATTAATGCAACAGACAATTTTCTGTGGACCCCACTTCATTTTGCATGCCATGCAGGCCAGCAAGACATTGCAGAGCTTCTTGTTGAGTCCGGAGCTTCAATAGATGCACTTTCAATCAACAACTCAACTCCTTTGAGTCGAGCTATTGAAAGCTGTAGGATGGATACTGTAAAATACCTACTTGATATCGGTGCTAAATTTCAGCTGGAAAATAGAAAAGGTATGTGTTCACATTCCTGATGGCTGGGGTTAGAAAAGGTGAGTTTATGTTAGATTCCAATTCTCTTATAGGACTACATTTTCCCCTGGGCTACTGGTGCAAACAAAGCCTAAGTTAAATGTCCCAGAAATGTGTCTGATACCTGGTGCTGTAAAGGGCCAATTATTTGTCTGCAGTCTGTCATGCATTGATACCTTTATAAAGCACAATGAGAAATTATTTATTACAAAATAGAATGGAAAGAAACAAAATACAAGCTCAAAGTTTGTTTTGATCAATAGATTCAAATCTAACGAATTTTCAAATAGGAAATTATTCTTTTAAATTGCTATAAAAATTTCTAATCACTTACTTTCTGTAGTAATTTCTTTCTGGATCAGTAAATGTTAGTTTGTGGACTTGTACCAGTTTTCAGATCACATCTTGAGTTATCACCATTATAACTTTTAATTTCTAATAATTGGCCATCTAGTAACTATAAACTTTAGATTCCTCAAACTTGGACAAAACAGTTCTTGAATTGAGGCTTCCTTGCCTCTAGGAAATAAACAGATGGCTTACTCAATGTTATAAATACCAAAAAGAAAGAATAAGATCATTTGAATAAATACTTGAACTCTTGGTTTAAAAGGTATTTCCTTAATTAGAGCCCATTGCTGCTCTTCAAATCTCTTTCACTTCAGGTTGCCCCGGTCACAAATAATATTGTACCAGGCCTGCCTCATGACGTTACAGGGAACACAATACTGAGACCTACCTGGTAATGTTATAGAGTACATAATGCCCAGGCACTTGCAGAAAGAATGCTTTGCTTTGGCTTCTTGGGCCTTTTGGAATTTGCCTTTTCACTTCATGGAAAGGGGAAGATAGGGTAAAATTATTACATAAAAGAAATATGTGCACTGTGGGGAAAGAACTATAAATTGGATATTTAAAATGTACTCTAATATTTCCCATCCCCTTTTTGAGAAATGTGGTTTAAAAATTAAGAAAAACAATTAATTTTTATGCTAGTAAATGCATTTAAATCATGGGATTTGGGAGCTGGGTCTACAGTAGAAAATATCTACCTCTTAATTTATATCATTGGCTTTAGTAATCACCCTACCATAGGTTTAGAGCTAATATGCTCAATATTTTTCTACATAGTTATCTTGAAATCTGTTTATTATGACTCTGAATTTATGTTTTAAACAGGTCACACTGCCATGGATATTGCAAAAGCTTATGCTGATTATAGAATAATTGATCTGATTAAAGAAAAGTCAGATAACTTGCCAAAACCTCCAGAAAATCAAAAACTGAAAGCCAAGCCACCCCCTAAACTGAAGACTGAAGGCCCTGAAATTAAGAAAGAAGAGGTAAAACAAAAAAAAAAGAGTTTGACTACCTATTAGTAACTGTAACTCCTTAAAATTCTATTGACTAATGGACAAAAGAAGTATTTATATCATTATAACACCATGGGGAAATGTATACTTTCTGGACCATGATACAGTATTTTTAAAGGAGTATCTAGCAAAAAATATCTATTACTTAAGACTCTAAAACATGCTCATTGAAAATAGAATCTGCATAAAACTCAAATTGGTTCAGCCAAATACAGTTAGAATGTTTAAAAAACTGGTATTGGTTGTGTATATATTTGGTTTTGAACTATACAAATTTGATGAGATGGCCCAAGTAAGGAGTGGAATGGTAACCTTTATGAGGAATGAAGTAAAGCATGATTTTCCTTCATCTTCATTTCATAGTCATTGCCTACCTTTGTCCTCCCCCACCAAGAAATTTTAATGAACTCCACTGAACTCTGGAATATGGAGTCACTTATAATTTGAATATCTTGGAAAATAACTCTACAAGGTTTTTGCATGTGCCACATTGGCTGCTTCTGATAATCTAGAGTAGATTACATAACCCTGAATTGCCAGCAGAAGGTTGAGGTTGTTGCCCATGGTGATTGCCATTAGCAGGATGACCCTAAGTGTATTACTAAGCTGGAAGCTTCTTTTAAGGAAACAGAAAGTTTGCTCCCAAAACAGGACAAGGATGAGAGTCAAGACAGAAAAGCTGTAATGCGATCAAATTGAGAAAAGTTGGGGGAATGTAGGTGGTAGGAAGTATATTGGTAAAGGGATTGTAAACACATAGCACAGAGTTGGAAACACTGAAGATGATAGTCAACATGGCAAGAAGGATCAACTAAAGCTCTTTCTCTATACATCATTATCATTTTAGTAGGATTCCTTTCTTCTGATTAATGAATAGCCACAAGTCAAGAATGGATATCTTGAAGACATTTATGATATGTTACTGATACTACTAATTAAGTAGAATTAAACAAAAAAAAATATTTCTCCTCACCCAAGGCTATAAAAATATCCTATTCTATCTCAAATTATAACTTGTATAGTAACATTTGTAAGTGTTTCCCCCCTTGGTTTCAGAATAAATGTAGAAAAGCAATATTAGAAAGTGAGTATTGGTCTTTTTAATTTTTAATTTTGTAATTCTGTTTCCAGGAAGCACTTTCATCACTTTATGCTGTACCAACCATAACAAAAAAGAAGAACAGGCATAAAGATAATGTGGTTTATCTCAATTCATTGATTACCAGTGGTTATACCAAGAAAGTGGATATCACGTTTGTTCCACGAAGGGTAAGCACTTTGAAAAGATCCTCATAGCATGGTGGAGCTCTTAATGGCATTTTCAAATACTTCCTCTGTATATCCTCCAAACAAATGTTCCAAGTTTATCTTTCAAGTTACTATTTTGCAGGAGTCTTTTTGCCAGGTCCTGTTACTTTCAGCTCAGTAAGTCCAGCTTTTGCTTACCAATACCTGGTTCTCTTTGTTCCTATATCTCCATTGACATCTAAGTTTTCTTTAAAAGATTCAAGTCTTCTCTACTCAGTGGCATTTCCTACAGCCTTTCAGTCACCAAATTCTGTAGCTACTTAATCTGGTGCTTCTCAGATCCAACCCTCTTCTTCCCAATCTTTACCTACTTGGAAATTTCATAATGATAGAGACTGGATATGTTTAAGTAGTTTCCTAAAGCATCTGCAATTAGAGGTGGAGACATCTTTGGGAGGACATTGTCCTTGCTGTGCCCATCAAATCATACTGAAGGAGCAGCTCCTCCTGCTTTCTGTTAAGAAAAAAATTTCACCTTCCACATAAAATTCAAAGTAATAAACCAAATGATATTTCAATTCTTTTGCTTTCCTCTTTTGATATTCTAAAAATGAACCATGTCTGGCCCAAGGATAACTGGCCAGACAAGTAACTAAAGGACACTGCTGAGCTCAGCTCCCAGATAGTCCTCATCAGAGGCAGTGATGTTCATGCAACCACAGATGTCATGTAAAAGGAGAAGAATGTTAAAATATGTCTAGAAATAAATGTGATAATTTTACGTTAAAATTATCAAAAAGCTTCTTAGGCTGGAGGTATAACTTGGTGGTACAGCACTTACCTAGCATGCACTTAGTTAAAATTAATTAATTAAAATTAAAATTGGATATCACCATATTCACTGGTGATCACACTCATGACTGCTCTGGGTTTGGCTATTTAAGGTTTGGAGTCCTGAAGCCACAACCCCAGAGCTGGTCCAGAAGCGGGAACTGCGTCGGGAAAGACTTAGTTATGAAGTGGACTTTGAGGATTTCATGATGCCTTTTCAGAAGAACATGACAGAGAAAGCTCAAGCTTTGGAAGCTACCTTGAAGAGTTAAATCACAGCAGTTGCATCTTGGGATAAATGCTTTGAAACCCAGGGACCAAACTTTGGAGGAAGTAGATATTTCCATTAAAGCCAAAATCAATTTGAAATCCTTACCAAATATTTTGTTTTGCTTTAACAATTATAAATATTCTAAGGTATATGACGAAGATGTATTGCAGTGAGTGATATGTCATGTGGGATAAATTCTTCCCCAACCTTATTAAGAATGGAGAATACCTGGCCTTTGGGTATAAACTTTATTGTCAAAAAATTTACCAGGACACTATTGTTCACTTAAAGATAATTCTAGTGAAAACTGATGAAAGAATAATGTGCTATTAGGAGGGAGATGTCATGTGTAGTCATGTAAGGAAGTTTGTTTCCCACACACCATTGTAAATGTGTCTTGGATATGTTGGGTCAAGTAAACTTGCATGGCCTCAGGAAATTGTCATTCCTCCATTTCCCTTCCACTCTGGGATTGTAGTACTTCCAAGCCTGGCTTCCACATGCCAAAGGAGGTCTGTTTCTTTCACTTGAACTTGAACAAAAGGTGGAAGTGCCTGAGAGCTCACATCCCCTAGAAAGCTCTCAGCCAGTGACTGGATAGACTCAGCTCCCTCACACTCTAATAAGAGGATTCCGAAGTGCACATTCTCACTGATCCCTAGAATTCCCTTGTAATAGTTGTCCCAGGCATGAATCAAACATATATGTTAAAATTAATAGGTAAAACTTATGGGAGTAAAAGAATATTTACATCATTTCAGAGATCTATTGTCCCAACTCTTATTAGGCATTTGCAGTAAAACCACTTTCCTCTAACCTCCTCCCTCTTTGTCTGACCATGGAGGAGACTGTAACAGTGAGCTGGTCAGGAGAAGGACAGAGGAGACAGAGCTGCTAACCAGACCAACTCCCTGGAGACAGATCTGAGCTGGGGCTGCTGATCAGCTTTACCATTTGAAGCCCAGAGATTGGCCTCAAGACTAATCTCTGTTTATTTAAAGAGGTTTGGGTTTGGATATTTCCCTTTCCTTTTTGCTGTGATTTCATATTTGTAGTTAAGTTACAAGAATTTTACAAATAATTTCTGTGTACTCTTTACCCAAATATTAACCATATACCACATTTGCTTTATCACTTTCTCCCCATGTATATGAGTGTGTATGTTTGTGTAACTTTTTCCCTAAACTCTTTAAAGTACCAGCTGAACACATGATGTTCTTTACTCTTTAATACTTTAGTGTTTTTCTTTCTAAAAGCAAGAACATTCTTTTACATAACATTATTATTGTCCAAATCAGGAAAGTAACACTTAAAGAAACTTCTTAAGCTATAGGATTTTTTAAGCTATTCATATTTTTCTGTTTGTCCCAATAATATCCTTTATAGCAAAAAAGAAAATCCCTGATTATGAAATAGATTCAGTTCTCGCTTCTCTTTAGTCTTCTTTAGCTTTCTACACTCTTTGTTTTGGTGGTGGTGGTTTTAAACACGTAAGACTAATACAGGCCAGTTGTTTTGTAAACTATCCCTCAATTTTAGTTTGTCTTATAATTCCCCAAGAAATGCATTTCAGGCTCAACACCACAAATGGGAGATTGCAGCCTTCTCAGCACATCGTATCAGGGGCTACATGATGTTGATATACAATGTAAACTTTGTAAACTTTCATCTGTTTAAGTATCTTTTGAGTAGATCTTCGAAACTATGTAAATTTTCTTTTACTATGATAAATTTCACACACTAATTTTCACATCTATGTATGATTCATACCTGAGATAGCTATTACAGTGACACTAGCCATAAGAAAATTTTCTAATGTCAATCTTATTTCCTTCCATTTCTTTGTTGTCTTTCACTGGTGGGCAGAGCTTTCTCTCTCCTTAATTCATGTATTTAAATTAGTATGGACTCATGTGCATTCCTTTTTTATGTTATGGGTTATAATTGTGGGTACCCACTCAAAATTCCAGTTTTTCACATATCTGACTAAAAGCAGTAACTCCTGGGAAATAGGATGCCATAAATTGCTCTTCAGGACTGATCCACTTCCAGAAGAAAAAACAAAAACCCACATCAAATTCCTTCTTCAAGGGAGTTCTATGACTCTGAAGGTGATAGAAATACCACTGGTATAGATAGATATTATCACAAACTTTCTTATCTGTTTTGTTCTCTTACAAATCCATTTATCTTTCACAAAAAGTCATTTGTTTGCACATTAGCATTCTTTCCTCCTCCCCTTTACCTAGCTTTAAATTTGTTATTATTTTAATTATACATATTTCTGGGGTACAATGTAGTGGTAATGTATAAGCCCCAAATCCTAAGTACTCCTTGGAGTTACACACCACTGTAGAACAATGAGTGCGTACACATCACCCATATAAGTAAACTATTTTCTCCTGTTAATCTATCTTCCTTTTAGCAATTTCATACACAGGCTCCAGGTTATAAACATCAGATGGTAGAGGAAAAATTTTCCTTGCTTAGATAATTGTTTACTGTCATTTACTCTGATACTAAATTTGTTCCTGACTTGGCCAGTGGAAACCCCTTCAAGTTGCCTCCTGATGAGAAGACATTTTTTTTTTCTGAAAATTAGTAAAGGATTTGTTGTGTCTTGAATGTGAGAGAAAATGCCTATTCATGGCTTCATCATGACAAAGTGAATCTGCAGCAGCAGATTCTCATAGGCTGTTAACTCTCTGGTTTCTCTCCAGCTGAGTTTATTTTCTGAGTGTCAGTTTAATATATGGTGGTGTCCCGTAGTCACCTTCAGCCCTTTGCAAACCTAAACTAAGAGGAAATGTGACTGTCAGTTCTATAAATTCTCTTTCCCCATATATTATTTATATTCATTTCAATGACTCAAGAATATGTTTTAATGGGAATTGCATAAGAGGACACTTGAGTGAATGAGTTTATTTGGAGTTTAATGCTAAAACAAAACAGGTCAAAGTCAAAGTTCTAACGATGGTCAATAAGAACATCAGGGCTGTTCAGAGTGCTCCATGGACACAGTTAGCCTCACCTGGATATTTGCTCTCAGCTCCCCAAAACTATAGCACATAAGTCTATAAAAGCAGAAAAAGATTTTGTAGGGGAAATTTTACTGGCATAGGAAGATAATTTACTAATGTTACAGGGTAAATATGGTTACAAGAAAAATTACATGATAGTATATACAATAATTTAAAATTTGTAAATATGCAAAAGACACATAAGGAGTAATTTTTTCTGAATTTTAGGAATTTTTTTAAGATTTTGGTTTTGAGTCATTTGACTTGTTTGACTTTGGCTTCCTGTATTTTTAAAATTTTTGTTCCTTTTTCTTTCTTTACAATGAACATTCATTACTTTGTAATAACAATAAACATTTTAAAAGAGAAAAAGATACAAGTTGATGCAGAACCCCAGAATGTAAGTGATTTTATTAGTATTTGCCTCTTTTATTCCTTTTTGTATGTTCTCTAAGTGAAAATTTTCTCAGTTGGAGACTGGGCCAAGTTCAGAAGCAAGTGATTTGGGAAAGGACATCCCAGGAGAAACCAGTATTGGCTGAAGCAGGGCGAAATAAGACAGGGAAGTGAAAGAAGTCAAGCAAGAGTCACTTTCACATGAAGTCCCAGATTCATAGTCATCCCTGGGGTTCTAGAGTCAGAGAAAATGAGCAAGGCTTCTGGATTCCAATGTAGGTCATTTAATAGCTTCCAGGTAGTCGAATACTAGAGAGGCTGCTTTCTCTGTGACTCTTATAATAAGAGTTTTGGCGGGGAAGCATATGGAAGCTGTGCACAGCATAAGGTCCTTATGAAGCACAGCAAAAGGTCCTTATGTTTAACTTAATACTGTAGAGAACTGGGTGAGAATATGGGTTTTATGGTCAGCAAACTAGGATCTGCATCCCCATGCTGTCATTTACTCCTGAGATGTATGGATCAGCTTCCAAATGATCACTGAATCTCAATTTCATCATTTATAAAGTAGGCATAATATTTATATGGCCCTTGATGGACTCCTATGTCAATCAAATGGATTAACATCTTTAGGGCTATTAGTTCTGAACCTATGCATATTTGATATTCAATAGGTCATTTATTTTTAAACATCTTTCCAAAAGAAAGACCCAAACCTGGAAAGTTAGAACTGTGAAGGTTTGCTACATTGTCAGTTTATGTGATTTAAGCATGTAGACATTTTATCTACAGATTTATCTAGTTTATTTCCTTTCTAGTAATCAGAGAAAGATGAACAATACCTATCTGTTATGAGAAATAGTTACTAATTTCAGTAATGGTAATTTAATTTCAATGACAGTTATTCAAAGGTTTATTACGTGTGTGTGTGTGTGTTGTTGTTGTTGTTGTTGTTTCATCTCCAGAGCCTAAATAAATTCCTCTAGAGTCTAAAGAGATAACTAAAATAGTTCCATGGAATACTACGGAGGCTAAGGCAAGGTCTCTAGTGCTAGAGAGTTTTGGAGGGACTGTTCCCAGGTGTAACTTGTCAGGGGGTGGGGGAAGCAGGATCAAGAAGGTAGAGAACTAAGGAAGAATAGTTGGCCTCAATCTCTGACCTTGGAGTGATGGAGGATAGAGTGTGTGCAGAAATTTTCCTGCCCAGAGGGAGGGAGGCTTGGCAGTGGCATCCCATATTAGTCCTTAGCTCCTTGTGGAGAAAGAAACTTCTTACGGGTTACCTGGCTGACTTGCAAGGTGGTTCTGATCAGGCAAGACAGGACCAATCTTCCAAAAAGGAGATAGCTGAGAACCCCTGGCCACACAGCTGAGCAGGGTGGGGCCAGCTGGCCAGGGGTATCTGGGCATCACATCAGTAGCATCTGTTGCAAGTAAGATGCTTTTATGTGCAGTTTGGGCACAAAATTTTAGAAGGTCTGATTCCTTGAGATTTTTTTTGCATTATACGCATTCTCTTTATAAAGAATATGACTTTTACAAACCTCCAAATGTGCCTAATTCTGTCTTAAGAATAAAGATGAAAAATGAGCAAGAACAGCAATGAGAACTGATTCAGCAGCTACTTAGAAGGAAAAAGCAATTAACAAACTCACTGGCAGTTTCCGTTTCTTCAAACTTGA